AAAAAACCGGGCCGAACTTCTAACAGCCCGCCCGCTTCCATAGAACAATATCGCGGCAACGTAGACCTAAGTAGTCATATTGGATCCTTGGGAACCATCACAAGTACGGCCGGCCTATATTTGAACGAGAATGCCGTCCAGCGGAGCCTAGAAGAAGGTGACTCGCGCAGACAGCTGACTCCTTTTCAATAGAAAGAAATAGCCAAACCAACCCAGCTGGCTGGTCAATCCCAGAGATCTTATCGGCCGGCAAACCGGAGACGGACGACCACGGTCCCGACCTTACCAGCACCGGAGGTGTACTAATCAATGAACCCCCGAAACCTACTTTCTTTTCTGACAAAATCAACCAAGCCTAACCGGTCACGACATGTTGTTGATATTGCTTTTTTTTGAGGGACTTTCGCTGACTGAATCCATCCATAAACCTAGACCCCGGTAACCTTCGTAACCAAAGCGTCACGACAACATCCAAAGGTGACCTTTGGATTCTTAAGTAGGGGCAAAAGGAGGAGCACGTAGGAATGCCGACCACTACATAAGCCACTAGTGGCTGAGAGAATGCGAGCAGCACCTTGTATAGGTTGGGCGGAGCTTGAAGAAGCGAGCCCCTATCAGAGAAAGCCTTTGCGCGCTAGCCTAGCTAGCTAGCGTTTTTCAGCTGGCTGTTATGTTAGTTGTAGCGCGCCTTCCCTCCTTCTCTCACTTTGGAAAGATTTAGCAGTCTTTTCTTATGATGACCTGGTCGAGAGAGTACGATACATCGGTGTAAAAGATTGAGTGGGATCTGTGAGGAGGTTGGTTTATAGTAAGGGCCTGGCCGGAAGAACGAAAGATACCGGCAAGCACAGAGCTGTCGTCCAAAGGGGTTCCGTAGAGTGGTCTAACCCCCGGTCAATCCTTGGAGCTTTCTCCATGCCCAACAGAGAAAACTTGGTGCGAATCGGGGAAATCCTTTCCTGCTCGTCTAACTAATGTACTGATTTAATTCCACGCAAATATGGCTGCCCGGAGAATCCGTAGCTGCTAAGGAAGAGGGTCAAGCCATAAGGATTGATGTGGCGTAGCGGCGACTGGAATCGATCTGAATGAAGCTTCAAGCGTAGTTATGGGGCTTCTCCTATACCCCGCCTATATGGAGGAAGATTAGGTGGGGAAGGTCATAGTGAAAGCAGCAAGCTGGAAAGTTGCCGCCCCTCTTTGATTGTGCACAGCCCCTGCCACGAGACACCTAATCGAAGAAGCGCCTTCCTATCCATGCAATAAGGCTACTTCGATAGCACCCTGTCGCGCGAGCCTTGTCTTTGTGCGTGCCGCGCTGTGCCACATCCGTCTTGGTAGAGTTACGCCATTCTTTTCTTCCTTCGCTGCTTTCGTACACCAGGGGGCTAGTTGAGCAGCCTCCTCTCGCCGTGCCCGGTGCCCAAAGCAAAGCATTGAAAGAACACGGGGAGTGGCCGGATAATCCTTACTATTTTCATGGGAGAGGAGAGGAGTGCAACACTACTACATTAACCGAGGTTGAAAAAGCACAGGAAAAGGGTAGGGTCTAAAACCTGAATCGGAGGAGATACCATACCAGAATAAATAAAAAGGGGCGCTGAATAGTTTCTCTTTCCTTCCAAATCCAGGATATAAATAAAAAGTGATTCCATAATAATAGGAATCCGTTTTCTTAGCAGGCGCATCAACCGACACAGACTCTGAAGCGGGATCAGAAGCAAGCGGTCCTGGATAAAATACAGTAGATATAGCAGGACTTTCTTTTACTAGGTGGCGGATGGGTATAGATAAAAGTATGCTTTTCGGGCTGAATCCGAAATAGGCGCAGCAAATAGAACAAAAGAGGTCCTTACTTTACTTTTCAATAACAGAGGCAAAAACGGACTCTTCAAATGGGGTGGACCTGGGGAAATTCTTCCAAATAAGTATATGAATCCGCAGAAGGGAGCCCTTGATCCTAGATAAGTAAGCAGATATGCCTATGGCTAGAAAGATAGCGAGCGCTATTCTCAACTTAGTCTCTCAGAAGCCAGCTCGTCGTAACCCTAAAACACGACGTTAGCGGGGCCTCCTGCAGAAGTACAACAAACATAGGACAGCCGGGAACGATGACCCTTCTCAAGCCTGACGCCTAAGTTGGACTTTCTCTTTCTGCTGCTTGCCACTCCGAAGTTTAGGATTGAGTTTCCTCCGATTGATTGAGTCGGTGGGGAAGTGAGCTGATCTCGCCTTTGTTGATCCGGTTGAAGAGAGTTATCACGATGTAGCAGGGTCTGTCTGCTCCAGTCTATGACCTACCGTTTGTTTTTCTAAGCAGTACGCCTAGGATAAAAAAGACAGGTGGCATAGCGATCCCTACCAATACGACTGGATACCGCATCTCGTCTTCAACTCATTCCGACACTTTTAGATCCTATGGTCACGCCTTAGTCCGAAGAGCTATAGGGCTTTTGGGCATTATTAAGAAATGTGACTCTCCACCTATTCTATTATGTGTTTACTCTCCCTCTGCGCTTATAGTTTCTAACCTAAGACTTTGCTTGCTCCGAGCCATCTTGTTAAGGAAGGGCGGCTAGGGTGGGAAATGAAGAAGAATGAAATTCCAAAGAAGGAGATGAGAAGGCAGCACACGGCTGTTGTTGAATGCGAGTCACTACATAGGTGGAATTTGATAAGCTCCTTTAGGCCCGGCTAGCCCGTAGAGTCTTAGGGGTTTCCCACTTTCCCTGACGCAAGGTCGGGGTCGTGACGAATAGGATAAATATACACCAAACCTTTGAAGGATAAGGTTCCAGTTCGCCATTCCTATTATTTATAGGCTTCCAGTCTCCTCAGAAGTCCGCTCTTCTATCTTCGCAGAATTCGCCTGGGTCTCTTACTCACCTTCGCGTCTAGGGCATGATGTCTTTTAAGATGATTCAATTGGTCAATCGTCTTGTTATTCTCAATCAATTCTCCCAGGCGGGATTGAAAGAAGGAGCTTTCACCCAAATGAGTTATAGCTCCTCCAAACCGTGTCATTCTCGAAGTATGGTACAACACTCTCCCGAATACGACAGATGCGGAAGTGGCTAAAAAAGTCGGAGGAAGAAAGTAGTTGGGCAACTGTATGCACGAGGGTACATTAGTATTCTTGGAATTGATAACATTGAAAGAAAGGGGGTAGGAATAAACTTTTTTAGGTTTAGCTTAAAGTAAGTAGTCGGACTAACCTTCGGTTCCCGTAACTCTGTTTTTCTTTCTTACTTAATTTTTATTTATATACTTTTTTTGAAGTGTGGGGCAAAGGGCGCCCTCTACTTCTACTTTTAACTAAACGCGAACAGCCGGCTTTGCAAGCAAATAAAGAGCCCCCGCCCGTTTGAGTCGCGAAAGGGCCGCTTGCTTAATCTTAATTATTCTATTTTCTATTTTAATAAATAAAAGATATAGAATATTCTATATCTATCTATCAACAATAAGAAAATCCTTTTTTTTTTTCTAATTGTTCATTCCTGGGAAGAGGAAGAAGCAGATAGAGCAAAGGCCCCCTTTCCGTCTGCTCTTCCCGAAGTGATAAAATTGCATGTAGAGATCCGTAGGGGCTTATAGTTTAATTGGTTGAAACGTACCGCTCATAACGGTTATATTGTAGGTTCGAGCCCTACTAAGCCTACCCCCCCTTCTCTTCACCCGATATAAGGCAGGCGAAGTCCCCGCCACCCTGCTGATCTCAATCTAGCGACGGCACCTGGAACCACACTGCTGCCGCTGCCCTTCGGGCACGCCTCCAACGCTTACCACTCACCTACGCTCTTGCAGCATGCCCCCTTCGGGCAATACGGCTTTCGTAATACGCGAAGCTGCTGAGCGATAGCTCTTCGATCGCTATATTCTCCCGATGGCCAAGGAGAGAAGATCAAAGCGAGACGGCCCATGAATCTCGAGAAGAGAGCATGGGGCTTGAAGACTCTACCGCATTTCGGCCCCGGGGCCTTCAATTGGTCCTTTCTCTCTTCTCTTTTACCAGTGTGAGTGGTGAGTTTCCTTTCTAGGTGGGTACCTCTTGGATTCGGAGTTTGTTCCAACATCTGCCACACGTGAGATCCTGATCGTCTTTCTCCCTGTGTTGTTGCCTGCTGGGGGAAGGAAAGTGGGGTTTCCTCCTAGGGCCGGAGAAGGTAAACCTCTGGGCCAGGGCGGGCTGCCAGGTTTCGCCTACGCTACGGTTTCACAAGATTGAACCTTTTTTGTTTAACCGAAGAAAAGGAGTTCCAGAGCACGAGGGAATGGGCTTTCATTCCCGGGACCGCCTCGTCTATGTACTCGGCCCCCCGATTGCTTGAAGATGCGCGCGCGATACGATAAAGGGCCCCTGGGAGGAACCAATGAAAAGCCAGGGTAGAGCCTCGGAGCCGGCCCAAGCGAAGATCGGCACTCGAAGGCTTGAGGAGCAGCCCGCAAAAGGGAAAGCCGTGGAGACGGCAGACTCGCCAGTCAGGCACACCGTGAGGCTGACTACAGCAGACCGGGAGGTTACAATTCCTGTTTTCCTGTTTCAATTTCCGGGAGTGAATGTAGGAAGTGTAGATGGTGGATCAGGTGTGAACATTCAACCAAAGGCGTCTTGGGGATCAGAAATAGCTAAGCATTGCGGCCATCACAGTTCAAGCTACGTATGGCTGGCGTACAACCTACGGGCTTCTTAGCAAAAAAAAAAAAACAAAAAAAAAA